TACAATAAGATACTGTAGACTTTCCTCTGATACTCACAAAGAAGAGAAGTTATCAAGACTTGCATCACATTAACCAGATGGTCAAGGGGTGATTACATTCAGTAGTCTCTGTGTAACATTAGTTCTGCTTTCTGCATGCACATGTCTGTATTCTCTCTATGTGACATTTATCCTCAATGAAAATAAGACTCCTCTTTATATCCATAATTCATAGGAATAACAACACCCAATAATTAAGCATACTAAAAGATTTAGGGATTGTTTTTGTCAATAAAATCTGGCTTAACCCGCTTGGCTGAGGACTAACCTCCTGGCCAGAGGACGAGGAGTCTGGGACCCCCATACAGATTGAGAGACCAAGGGGCAGCTGCAGAGGGGGAGATGGGGATGGAGTAAGAAGTACACTAGAGAGAGGAGGGGATTATGAACAGTATTTATAATGCTTTAGGTGAGGAAGTGATGTCAGGGGTGATTAACAATTCCCGACAGCTGAGTCTGACTTGGCGGTTCTCATCCCTCCTGAAGATTTGTTATAAATTCCATTACAGTAAATGTGGCATAAAAGATTATTTTTAAATTGCACCAATTGTTCCCACAAGAATTAACCAGCTATGGCCTGCTTATCTTGAGATACCTCTGTTCTGGATGTTGATGATGTTGCCATTCCCTTCAAGTGTCCCCAGCTCTCTGTAGTGTATACAGCTTTGCAGTGTTGGGTTGTGTCACTGTCCTTTCAGATCTGGGGCCGCCTGCCTCATCTGAAAGCTGTTGTACAGTATGTTGGGCCACTACAGAGGAAACTGCCCAACCTGTATTTGGTGAGTTAGCCATCCATTCCTTAGCTGTAGCAGTCAATTGAGAATAATTCAAGTAGGTCAAAATGTAGATGGCAATTTATTTGACTGGATTTTCCATTTCAATTGTAAGTGAATGTACTGTACCTGTCACTGTTCTTTTGTCATTCTTCCTTAAAGGAAAGCAATGGATTTCCTGTGATAAAGTAGTGTTTAAACCGAGATCTGTATTGTGCATGCATTTAAAAAAAGAAACTTTGCTATCTAACAGTGGGATGAATTTATGGAACTGGGATCAGAAATCTCTGAGGAGCACCTGGATGACATAATCAGCAACCAGAGACCGAACCAGTGTTGTGTTCTGATTTACACATCTGGAACCACAGGCAAGCCCAAAGGAGTAATGCTCAGTCACGACAATGTAAGCTAAAAGATTCAACTGTCTTGTGCTCTTAAACTGATTGAAGTTCTGCATTTATTAGGTTTGTGCTGGAAATGTTTGCTTTGAACAAAGCTAAAGTACAGGTGTGGCAGTTCTCCATACTAACAGCATTATAACATCAGCTTGTTTTGCATAATATTTTGTTTCCATTCACAATTTTTCAGAACTGTTGGTACTGTGACAGTCTGTATTCTTGAGTTAATACTTATTGTTTAAATATTAAATATTATTAGGAGCTTTTGGAGTTCAAAATAAAAGGAAAATGTGACTGTTTTAGCACAAAAACATTACTGGCCTGGCTGATGTGTGGCTATAAGTCACACCACTCCCTATATCTCTCAACAGTGAGTGATATAAAAATTCAAATGTTTTCTAGCAATGTACCATACTATTCCACAGACAGTACTCTAAATACAGTAGCAATATACCATACTATTCTATACCTGAGACTATACTATGCACATTGTAGGGTGCATACATGAAAGCAATTTAGAGACGCCAATTAACCTAGCCAGTGTGTCTTTGCAAGGTAAGAGGAAATCGTAACATCTGGCAAAAACCCAAAAGAACATGGGGAAAACATGTAAACCTCATACGGAGGGAACCACAGTCACGAATTTCAACCTAGTGCTCAAAATCTGTGACAGCAGTACTAGCCATCACAAAACTAAATGAATAATAATAACAACAACACAGATTTAGCAAGTATGATATGCAGGCTATTGATTGCACTAAATAACAGTAGTTAGAGTGCAGGAATGGCAACACCCCTATGACGGCTGAATGTCCAGATGCATTGTAAAATGTCAACTGTGCTACAAAAGTAGAGCATTTAGAATACTGAGACAAAGATGTGTCAATTGCGATAAAATCATTTTTTAGAATTTCCCACGAAGGACTGAAACATTGTTTGGTTCTTAGCCCATGAATTGCTGTTATTCAATGGTAAGATCACAGGTATTTCCAGATCTCAGTAATAGAGCTGCCTGCTGCCTGCCTGGTTTTGGACAGATAACATGGACGGCGCAGCATGCCAGCAGAGTGGGGGACATGCAGCCTGCTGAAAAGAAGCAGGAAATCCTTGTGAGCTACCTCCCTCTGAGCCACATCGCCGCTCAGATATACGACCTTTGGACAGGGATCCAGGCGGGAGAGCTTGTTTACTTTGCCCAGCCAGACGCTTTAAAGGTACAGAAAGAGTCATTAGAAACAGTAACCACCTGTGTGACTTCTGGGATTTTCTGTCCAAATAAATTTCTGTTAATTTGTGACCCACGTTAAGTTGCAAAATACAGATTTAAAGTTATCAACATTTTAAAGTTATAAATATACCATCCTTAGGGTGACCTTTATTTTTGCAAACCAAAAACCCCACGCTTTCACCTCCTCCTGTGAAGTTTCAAGGAAATCGAGATTACATGTGTTTCACAATGTCCAGTAGTAAATTCTGTTATAGAACAATTAGAAATACATTATGATCAAGGAAGATAACTCATGGTTTTGCTTTCCAATTAGGAAAATTCAATTCAATTCAATTTAACTAATACTAAACAACTTTTGTTAACATTTAAATAAATATTTAAATAATTCAGGTAGCCTGTAGCTGCACACACATACATGTACAAGAACTGTACCTTTGGCTTGTACAACAAGCTGTTTTGCAGCCAGGATGAGAAACATTTGTTAATAGATTTGATAATACCTGTTAATAATACTGTCACACAAAACAGATGCGTTGGGCATACCACAACTTCAGAAATTATTACAAGATAGAATGGAAAGACACACACTAAGCAAAACTGGGCTGTGTCTGAATAGAATCCAATTTTAATTAATCCATTTTATAAAAATGAACAAGTGACTGATCACAACTTCAGCTTTACTATATTTATAGGAACCACCCTAATGTTCTTCTTCTTTATGTTTTATGTCTTATTGATGTGTAGCTATTCAGTCTCATAAAGGAAGCTTGTTTAAAAAAAAAAAAACTAGAGCAAGAGTGTAGTGTTTCATATCCTTTCTTTGTAGGTATTCAAACACCAAAGACGACAAATGTTGTTCCTCCGGACCAAGTGAACATGTTAGTTTAGAAGGCCATACAAGACAACTGTGATTAGCAACCCTCTTGCTTTTATTTTTCAAATACTGCGGAGGAAATCCAGCTGCGCCAAGAGCTTTGTATGTCCCATAAATAACATACTGTAAGTTTGAAAAGCTGCACTGTTCTGCAGGGAAGTTTAATCAGCACATTGAAAGAGGCTTGCCCTACATCTCACATGGGCGTCCCGCGAGTGTGGGAGAAGTTGATGGAAAAGATCAAAGAGGGGGTCGCTCAGTCCGGGTTTCTGAAAAAGAAAATGTTAACGTGGGCGATGTCTGTGACGCTGGAGGCCAACCTGAACTGGGCCAATAAGTAAGTGTTCCAGAGTACATTTAAAGGGCCACTAATTTTATGGATCTGCATGAAAGGTACTGTATTTCACCACTCTGCTGTATTTGTTTTGTTTTTATTTCTAGGAATGAAGCCAAACCATTTCTGTTCACTCTCGCAGACAGCTTGATATTAGAAAAGGTTCGCGCAGAACTTGGGTTCTCACACTGTCTGAAGTTCTTTTCTGGGGCAGCTCCCATCACAGGTGAAACCCTGGAATTCTTCCTGGGGCTAAACATTTTCCTGTATGAGGCCTACGGGATGAGTGAAACCACAGGCCCTCACTTCATGTCTGGCCCCAGGGTGTACAGGCTGCAGAGGTACGGGGTCACACAGTTTACAAAATAAATCGTATGCACATCATCACTGCTGAGGCGCACTGTGTATTAACAGTTTCTAAATACACTTACTATATTGATTATAGAACAACATATTAGATAACATGATAGGCTGAATTTTAAGTCATGATATTGCCTTTTTTCTCTTTGGAGCAATATACATATATAAATATGCAGTAGGAACTAATAAAGGTTTATTCCAGGCTGAAAAGAGAAGAGAATCAACGTTTCGGCTATGGAGCCTTCTTCGGGTGTGAAACGTTGTGTTCTTTTTTTTCTCTTTTCAGCATGGAATAAACTTGTTCCTTTGCAGCATACCCATGCTGACACAGCTGCCTACTCGAACTATATATAAACATTTGTCTTACCGACAGAGAATATATTGCCTTATCCCAAGAGTTTCTCTTCTTTGGCACTCTTCCCTTTGTTTTATACTGACTCTCCCCAAGATTTCTGTAAACGCAAATGAGCCGTATTGACCTTCGTCCTGTACAGCTGTGGGAAGGTGGTCCCAGGCTGCAAATTCAAGCTGAGAAACAAGGAAGAAGAGGGGAACGGGGAAGTCTGCTTTTGGGGACGAAACGTTTTTATGGGCTACCTGCACATGGAGGACAAAACAAAGGAGGCCCTGGATGAGGACGGCTGGTTGTGTTCAGGGGATATAGGAAAGGTAGACAAAGACGGATTCCTTTACATCACAGGAAGAATAAAAGGTACGTTTACCAAACAAAGCACAGGGCCATGTAACTGATTTTACAGTCTTTTGAAGAGATTGCCTTTTTTCCAGTTCATAATTTTTTCTATTACTTTAACCACAGATGTTTTTTTTTGCTTTGAGCACTAGATTTGCATATCATTGCCCTGAATGATTACTTATGATCAGATGCTAAAGAATGGCTTTTTCCACGTGTCGTCTGTGTTCAGAGTTATTAATCACTGCTGGTGGAGAAAATATCCCTCCGGTTCCAATAGAAGACGCTGTGAAAAAAGAACTTCCCATCATCAGCAATGCCATGCTGATTGGGGACAAAAGGAAGTTCCTGTCGATGCTTCTGACTTTAAAGGTAGCCTTTTTCACGTGATATAACTTTTGACATAACTGTGGAAAATCTGGGGTTTCAAAGCATTTTTTGTATTACAACATGACATTTGGGCACTTAAAGAGAAAACGCTTGATACTGATACCCTTGGTTTGTGTTGTCGTATCTGTTTCCAGTGTGTCTGTAATCCTGAGACAACAGAACCTACAGATGAATTAAGCCTGGAGGCTGTTGAGTTTTGCCAGCAGGTTGGCAGCCAAGCAACTAAGGTGTCTGATATTATCGGAGGGAGAGATAAGGCAGTGTACCAAGCCATTCAAGAAGGAATAGAAAGGGTCAACAAGAGGGCTACATCCAATGCCCAGCGCATTCAGAAATGGACAATCCTCGAAAAGGACTTCTCTATTCCTGGAGGAGAATTGGGTAAGGACATAGGGATCATATGTGCAAACCGATTGCTTTTGAAAAATGCAGATTCATTCACAGAAGTTTATTATGCAATAAGGTTCTGCTTGTCCAGAAACATGTTTTGGGGATCAGGTAGACCTTACTGCAGAATTGTCTTGTGTGAATCATTTCACAGATTGACTCTGGGGAAGAGAAGCCCTAGTTTCCAGTACTCAACAGCTGGGTATACACAGGGCCCACACACACCTATCTAACGGGGTCCAGCCTGGGAAAAAGAACCGCTTGACACAGCGCGATCCAGACTGGACTTGCCCTATTTAACAGGGTCCAGTCTGGAAGAGCAGGGAGTTTAAACCCAAAACAAAAAGAGAAACTCAGCCTGTCCCAGTGGAAGAGACACAGCAGGACAGGATAGGAAGAGGTCAGCCTGTCCCAGTGGAGATGCACAGCAGGACAGGCAAAAAAAAAAGGAAATAAAACAAAAGGAACAACAATGGCCGTACACTCGGTCACAATCCCCCCCCAGGGCTGTCGGTGGAGTGCTCCTCCCCTTGCGGGGGTCTGCTCATCCCTGCGGGAGGCGCTCAGTGCGTCTTAAAAGGCTCCCACAGCTGTGGCTCGTCATTAAACAGCCAAAATAGCCAGGGCTCTGCCTCCACACTGAACAGAGCCCGCGTAACGCCACATATGTGATAACAGCAACATGCAAGATGTCCAAGAGCTAAAATCAGTCAAACAGTTCAAATGAAACTAATTAAGTCAATTAAGAGATCAATTGTGTAACTGAAAGCTTGGCTGGAACAAAAACCAGCATGTGTGTGGGTCTCTAGGACTAGAATTGGAAAGTCCTGCTATAGACCATTACATTTGTATACTAAATTGTTAATTAATTCTTTGCTCAGTATGGAATAGTTCCATATCTTAGAAGTTGGTGATTTAATGTTGAGCTACAAAACCTGTAGGACTAGGATCAGAGCTAGGAATCCAAGAGGCGTAATAGCAAAATTCCGTTTTGCAATGGAATCTTTCTCTTCCACATGAGGCACGTTTGTTTTTGGAGGGTGTATTTTGAAATAAAAAACAGGCGTCTTTTCTAACTCTCACACTATGCCTTTATTTTTAGGTCCTACTATGAAGCTTCGCAGACCATGCGTTCTGGAGATGTACAGAAATGAAATTGGCATCTTATACAAAGAATGATTATACAAAACACAACAGCACTGTTTATAGGGCTGTTAGACACAACTAAATTGGTTACAAAATATTTGTTCTGTAACATATACAGTAGTTATAAAATATTAATGTTTTGGTCATAATCTATTATAATCTGCTTCCTCAGCATATTCTTGCTTACTTTACATTTCAAACTTGTTTCCTATTATTTCATTTCACATTTCAAACTTAAATGTCAGCATATTAAGATCAATAGATTTCTGTTTCTAGTAATTCTCGAGATCCTTTAACTGTTGTTTATTTCAAGATGAACTGGCATTGTGTGGCTAAGTTTAATTAAATCAATATGTTTTTGCAAGGTCTCTACATTAGTGCATTAAAATGTTATGTAGCGTCATGTTATGTATGTTTACACTCTTTCAATGGTCTGTACAACTCACACTTAATCAAGATTAAGTCAATGGGCGCCAGTTATTTGCATTTGCTAAATTTATACCATAGCTGTTTTTGTCTATTCAGAATGTATTTAAGTCAATTATTTTATAAAGGCCATTTTTCTTCAACATATCACAAAGGGTGCAAACAGGGACAAAATAATATGCATCTCTCCTTAGGGTTAGCAAACAAACCTACGAAATAGTTTGATCCAAAATTCATTCCTCAGGCCTCAACTTACATTGTGTTTCATGGACCCAATACATTCATTCAACACTAAACATTTTACACTTACTGTAAAAAACAAAAGACTAAGAATGGATACCAGTAAACATCAGAGATATCACTCAAACCGTCTTTATAATTTGAAGCAGTGTGCAAAGGCAGAGCATGAATACACAAGCTAAAAGTGCGTTCCAGTCAAGCTGCTTCATGAACAAAGCCAGCATTTGAAGGATCACTTTTTGCAAAGCAAAAAACACAAAGGGGGGTTAATGAGAGAACAAAACAGCTTGCATTAACAGAACTCAGGACTGAATAACAGATCTAAGAAATTATAACAAATAAAGTTGAAGTCTGCACCAAGAGTAACTTTTAAAAACAAAAAAGAATCCCGAATAACAGGTGTTTCACAACCAGAGGTAAAGGCCACAGAAAAGGCTTTCAAACGCGCGGAGATGAACAAAAAAATGCAAGCTCTAGTGAGAAACACTGCTGGTTTTACAAACAGCTGAGGTGCAGGAGCAGACGTTCACTTGAACATAAAGCATGCAGCTCAAAAGGTAAAATTACACACGATACTGTATAGGCTCTGCATCGGGGGGAACAGCCTCCCTCTATTTTGAAATGCCGTTAGATAATTCATCCAACAAACACGCTGTCTGCGGTTTCACTTTGTAACCCTAAGACCTGCAGAAGATTAAGAAAAATGTTCAACACACATGTCCATGCAGAAACCAAAATGACATCTATGGGTATACACAGTGTTTAAATAGCCCAATAACAGATGAGCTGTGGATCACAATTCACAACAATCTTACATATGCGAGGTGTTATTAAGACACCACACTCAATATCAATATGAAACACCAAACGCACACTGTAACATGAGAAGGAAAAAACCCAAAACACTCCTTTCAAAATATCTTGATCTTTTAATGGGGGTTCTGTCCTAGGCAAGATTACAACACGGACGATTCTTTTTGTGTTTGCCACTGACAAAAACAGCAGTTTTAGAAAAAAGAACAAAATAAAATCCATCTGATGAAGGCCATATTTGGTCAATAAATAGAGAACGCCAAGCAGAAACAAAGTACACAAACATAGTGAGTGACGATACATACGACAGTGCTCTGTGGTCAAAGGAGAGACATTCAGAGGTCAACCCAAGGGGTTATTTTCTGTATGAATATAGCGCATTGTGAATCTGAAGATGACGGAGATCTGGGGGGTTACAGACTGGAGGCCAGAGACAGCTTGCGTGGGCACCAGGAGAGCAGGCGCCGCTTCTCAGTCCATGTCTCGCACTCTGCGGCAGATCTCATTCGTGAACTCGGAACACTTCGCACCGCCCCCCAGGTCTTTGGTCAGAACCTAGGAAGGTCAAGGGAAAAGAAGAAGAAAAAAAACAAAAAACAGGGGAAACATCATTTACCCGAAACACAGACACACGGAGCGGGGAAGAACAGCGAAGACCCACATAAAAAATAAAAATGAAGAGGGACGCATCGGAACATTTGTCGTCAGGCCGGCCCCCGATTCCCGGCACAAACCTGCTTGTCGTTGATGGTGTCGAAGCAGGCCGCCTCGATCTTGCCGGCGTAGCTGTGGAGGCCCATGTGCCGCAGCATCATGACCGCGCTGAGCAGCAGGGCAGTGGGGTTGGCCAGGTCCTTCCCTGCTATATCTGGGGCTGTTCCGTGGACCTGGGGGACCGCAGAACCACCGTGAGGACCACCGGGCCCCGCAGAAAGACCAGCATGAGCCCTGGGACGAGGGTCGAGCCTGCGGCTGTTCATATGGTTTAATTCTGCCGATGTCTTAACCCAGGGCGACTAAGTACCGTTTGTGCGAGACGCATTTCAATCAGCTGTCGTCCACACACTCTAACAAGTAGGGAGATCGCCGTTACGACAGTACAATGCAAGTTTCTAATGAAACACATGGACAGCATGTTATTGAGCAAAATGGAAAGCAAGTCAATCAGAGCTTAAAACAAGTTCTCGGTATAACAATTTTTTAGAAGAACTTTGCGATTACAAGATATTTTTGTAGAACCCCTAACCCTTTCACTTCAATTTTGCCAGAGGTTGTCATGTCATGTTAAATTTGCTGATTACGTCAAAACCCTTGGTTCTCTGGAGCGTCAGCAAGGTTTGGATATTCTGGTGTATAACACACACTTAATCAAGCATGCACTGTCAAAAACATTATAACTGTACTGGAATCACAATTACTGCAGAAGGCAGCAAGCAATACGATGGGAGTCAAAGCATCTTCCAGCATACCGATTCAAAAATGGCGACTCCATTGGCTCCAATGTTACCACTAGGAGTCACTCCCAGGCCTCCAATCAACCCAGCACACAAGTCGCTGAAATACAAACAGCATTTCACATTTGCAGCATTAACAGCTCAAGTACAGCACTAGTTACATTAGTAAGAAGACTTTTAATCACAATTTTAATCATATGGTTGTGTATGTATATGTAAAAACCCATTGCAAAAAACAGTGAAAAAACTATATAACACGACTAATTTTGCTTTGTTGATTTTCATCTTGGTATTAGACCTACAAACTTTGACATGAGTCTTCTCTCACCTGAGGATGTCACCATACAAGTTAGGCATTACGAGTACGTCAAATTGTGTTGGATCTTGTACCATCTAAAATGAAGCAAAAGGAATGAAACATTACAAATCTTAAATTATTTGAAAGCGGAGAAAAAAAAAACACATAAAAATCTTACATTCAGGCACACTGTATCCAGGTACATTTCTGTGAACTTGATATCCTTGTAGTTTTCTGCAACTTCCCGACATTTTCTTAGAAACAGTCCATCAGACATACGCCTGCAAAGGGTTAAATTATTTTTTTCAAACCACAAAAAATCAAGTGTCAAACTGTGCCTTACTACTTTTCACAAAAGCATTCACACAGCATTCTAAATGTTGCTGAAAGATTAAAAATGTTTCCTGTATTTTAGAAAATAAATAATTCAACAGTCTCTCTTTTGGGTTTGGTGCCGATTAACAATCGAGTTAATAATCGACAACACTGCCCAGAGAGTAGAACACACAACCTACAGTTAATAAGTAAATACTACAGGAATAAGTAAATACTACACACTGGTCAGTTCTCCAGACAGCAATGAATACAATTCCCCTCCATCTCTTACAAGCTTCACGGAAATGACTATAATTACAGTTCATGGCTTCAGAATTATACGTACATGATGTTGGCTTTGTGTACCGCTGTAACAGTACTTCTTTGGTTATTCCTGGCATACTCAAATGCAAACTCAGCAATACGCTTACTAGCTTTCTCAGTGATGAGTTTAATACTCTGTACCACTCCGTCAACAATCTGCAAAGGAAACAAGCAGACAGAAACCAATGAAACAGCATACAGGTACAGAACTAATATACTGCTTGATATATTGAACAACCTGTACAGATTAGTAGCTAAATACAGCCGTGTACAAGTTAATTTGTGCTGGTTAATTTGGTGCTTGAGGGAGGAAATCATTTCTACGGTGTACATTTGTGAATAGCTCAGGGTTATTAAAAAACAGCATGACGAAGCTTACAGTCAGCACTGCTTTACAAGGACTCAATGGGAGGGGGAACACAAAATGCTACAATTTTGCACTAGTAGGATACAACAGAGAGAACATCGTTACTAAAAAGTAAAACAATAAAAAAATGCTAAGCCAGCCACTGGAAAAAAAAAAGGTCACCGAGGCAGGAGAGAAGGAAGTAAACTATGTGAACTTCAACCTGGTGGGCAAGGAAGGGTCAATGGAGTATCAGGTGACTTCCTAACATGCAGCAAGGAAACGATGAATGCACAACTGTTTAAGTGTGCGAAGCACAAACCGACAAAACAGGAGTGCAATGAGACACTGGGAAATACTGGGAAAAGTTCTAATAGTTTAGTTTTAGATGGGCGGGGGGAAAAATTGGCTTTATGCAATTTTTAGCACCTTACCTACAGTAAACAGGGCTGTAAAACGAGAGGCGCACTCTCTCCAATCCTGCTAGCACTGCACACAAAAGACTTACAAGGATTATATGCGAAAGTGCATGGCAGAGGCGAAGGCTGCTCTACAGGACATTCAAGTAAGGGGTTAACATGTGACAGAAGCGCTGGGGAAAAGTGCCCTGTTCTGCACAAAGATACAGCAGTCAGGAGGACAGCAGGACAACAATAAAAAGCTGCATTACAGTAGGCACGCTTGGGGTTTTGGGGACTCGATTCCTTATAAGGACAAAAATGTGCTTCTGTCAAAAATGACAACCCGCTACGTCAGAAGGGGTTTGCACAGGAGGAGACATTGTGACCAGGTTTTAGCTATACCACGCAGGGACAAAAAATGTTGGCAAAGGATTTAAAAGCAAAAACAAAGCAGCAGGAAGGGAAGTGATGATGCATAGCAAACCAACTATATTACACTGCTATTATTGCTGAAAAGTAACTGCGGTGTTGTAAACTAGTGTTTAGTTCTGTAAGACAATGGGATTCTTTGTGTTACATCTGCCAATAATAAGCAGCATTTAGTTTTTTTTAAAATGTAAGTGCTCATAAGGCTGACATACGGAATGTATAAACAGCAGCAAATGAAAGGGAAGAACACTTTTGATCCTATTCATAGAACCTTATTCTTTTGAGCGATGTAGGAAAAAGGCTTTCTCCACTAGTTAGTAATTGTTTACGAGGAACAGAAGCTTTTAAAGAAAGCAAGCAAAATGATAAATTCACTATCACATAAATGCTAGATCCTGTTATTCCCCTTTGAGCAAAGTCTGCCCCATGTCTCTTTGTGGAATTGGAAATATTACAATTCTCCATATCCACACTGTAGTGCTCTGAACAGGATGCGTACCACGTGCTCAATCCCGCTGTACTCTCCTTCAGTGTTCTCTCGGATTGTGACGAGGTTCACGTCAGTGTAGGGGGTCTTGTAGCCGTCAATGGACACACATGGACGCACGTTTGCGTAAAGATCAAATGTCTTCCTAAGCAGCAGATTCATAGAGGGATGGCCAGCAGCAATGGGTGTCTTGAGAGGTCCTATACAGCACAGCAAAAAGTGTAAGAGTGAATCATTTCAACTGCATTGTTACACCTCCACAGAAAAACAATTATCTGATGTCTTACCTACTGTGAATCATAAGAAACATCACTTATAGCTAACGAATTTACCAAGTTTTTAAGAACACGACCATCTTTTTGAAGCAGATGCACTTACGATTTTATTGAACAGGCATTATTATGCTTCTCACTATGATGATTAACATTAATCAACTGTGAAAGTCACAGGCTAGCAGTGCCTGACCACCAGTAGATTCTTTACAAGATGGTCTCTGCAGTCCAGTGTAAAGAGTGCAACACAGATGCCATCCTGGAAGAATCTAATGGTAGTCACACATGCTACTAGTCTGTGTGGGGTGATCACCCCTGTTGATGAATGATAACCATCATAATAATGTCTGTTTAACAAAATCCAAGTCCAACTCTGCTCCTCTTATGGAGGCTGGACAAGCCTGTTCACTGGTCTCTGAGCCCTAGATCGCACGTCCTCCCAAGCTCTTCCCACAACTGTTCACTGAGGTTCCAGCCAGGCTTGCAGGCTCATCTGTCACAGTCTCGTCTCACAGGATGGAGATGGTTATACGAGCAGCATGGGAACAGTTTTGCCATGTCAGGATGAGCCCGCAGGAAGGGCAGTAAGTCAGGGTCCGGGGCTTGATCAATACAGCACTGTGCACTGGGGCTGCAGGGCCGTCAATATAAAACCTTATGCACCTGACATGTTGCTCACACCACTTCATTCTGTTATGGTGCTAAACACTGGAGAGCATGCCACCTGTGTGATCACCTGGCCTGCAAACAATAACTGTTTAACTGCCCCCTCACATCTAAGCTGCTGACGTGCTGGTTGTTGCAACCTGACATCCTGCCATGCAGTGGAAGCGACAGTAAGAGACAATCATGTAAAACAAAAATCACGTGATGACGTTGGTCTTGGCGAGGTCTTGTGACTTGTGGTCTTTCATATCGCGGTATATTATTATTCATAGTCTGCAACTGGCTTTTTAGCAATACCTAGCTGTGAATACCCGACAGAGTGCAACAGTGCGCCTAGTCCAGCCTCAAAACATACAGCTTCCTTTGTGTATTTTTCCTTTTTGATTTTCACCAGGCTAAGTCACATCTTCAGCCGTGCCCATTTGACCTCCCACTAATGAGGTGATTGCGTGCTTATGCAACAGCCAAAAATATTCAACTGTCAGTCTTTAATGAACAATGAATGACAATGACAAAACATAGACACATTGAGTGATAAGTTTCTTCTGATGCTCAGTAAAGAGCAAATTATTTGCGAAAGACTCAAGTACAAGAAGGGCCATACCTTTCAGTCCAATTTTGCTTTTATCCATCGATTCTTTAGCTTCTGGGGGAATCATCCACTTTCCTCCTGGACCTTTAATTGCAGTGACATTTCTCTCTTCCCAGTGAACTGGAGCCTTAAGTCAAACAACAACAAGATCATTAAATCTCCTATTACTGGAGAGCACTTCATGCACAGGATATTGTAAGTGCTATGCATTCTGAAATGTCTTTTTCTATCTTAAGAGGCGCACTCACTTCGAGGACTGGGAAACGTGCTATAACAGACTACTCATCGGCACAATAACAAACATATTATGCTGCACATTGGTGGTGGTGGAGGGGAGACCCCATTACCTGTAAAGCGCTTTGAGTGGAGTGTCCAGAAAAGCGCTATATAAGTGTAAGCAATTATTATTATTATTATTATATCCTAACAGACCAGCATGCACTACAAAAATACACAAATACATTTCATTTCTTGTCAATCCAATGGAAGTATGCTGACCCAGCTGGTTATGTAACAGTACTAGCTTGTCTAGAAAAGGTTTGTTTTCCATTTGTAGTTTATATCTTTACTTTTTAAAGGAATAAAAGTTTACTTTCCACGACAAACTAATATTGCTCTTCTGTTTGGATTCTGCTTCAATTTAAAGACATCTTCTAGAATATTTTGGTGAAATTCCAGACAGGGGAAAAGAGAGTAACAACTGGGAGTGGCCACACAGACTACTTAGTAAACACTAAGTTTACAAAACACCCAGGTTCCTCCTCATGTCTAGCGGACTCGAGCGCTAACCTGAACGGGCACACCTCTCCCTGAATTCCCTAGATAAAGGCTGATATTTTGCGGTCAGTCTCCTGTGGAGACCAACCCCGGTAAATAACTTTCTTGATTTTCATGTTTTCTTTGTCAACATTACCTTGGCCGCTTCGAAAATCTTCATGACAGCACTTGAAATTTCTGGCCCAATGCCATCCCCTGGGATAAGTGTTACAGTTTGTAGCTGAAAACAAAACAAAAAAAATTACAAAGGTATGTAAAGGCTTTTCAAAAGTACTTGAACAACTGCCGGGAATAGTTAAGAACTGAATTCTAACCATAACTTTTGATAAGGAAAAAGTATTCTGCCCGCCCAATCTCTATCATTATATACCGAGAAGCATTAAAATGCAACAAAAGAGCATTGCAAGCAATGAAAACAAAAAACTGAAAAGTCCTATTAATTTTTAAGATTAAAAAAAAATTCAGTTCAGGTGGAAACTAGGAGTACAATATCCCGAGTTGTTTTGCATTAACTTCTTTTTGGGAAAGTGTGGCAATGCACCTATATTGAAGTGTCTAAAGCAGAAAAAGGACTGCATTCCATATTCTTCTGCCACTCTTCCAGATTTTGTCAATCTAAAACTCAGTTTAGAGTATGTTCCCCGGCCTCTCTCTTCTGGATGACCTTGCATCAGTCAGATCGGGCTGCTCAGCAAGGCTGGCAGGTCACACAATCCACCTGCTGTCTGTGCATCAAATCAAGACAGACAGCAGCTGGAGACCACTTGCAAGGTCACCTCCTAGCTCTTGTGGGAAAGAGAAGGGCTTCAGCTGAGCATCATTTCACCAGCCAGTTTATAACATGGTAGAAATGACCTTCCAGCTCTGATGTACAGTCAGTTTAAAGGCCCTCTGTGGGACAGAAATTAGGGCCGTGTCTCGGGTCCAGCTACCTGAAATTGTGGAACTTCAGATCATGCAAGATGAAGCAATCCAGTGAAGGAAAAATCACATTTATCTGAAAGGGTGGCAAGTTACAAACCCATACAGTTGGTCTTCTAACCCAGGTGAAAAGTCAAAGGCAGTAATGTACAGTATGTGTAAAAGGACACATTGCTCTCTTGGACTGCAAAAAGCAGTGCGATTGGAGCAGGGTACTTACCCCGCTGCCATAGCTTCGGACTGGTGCCTGGCTCTGTACAGCACTCACAACACGAGACAACTAGAAACCAACAGAGAGGACAACAGCTCAATACCCCAGAATCACAAACATGCAGAATAACCAACATGCAAGGTTGTGACTGTAATTTGTTTAATTTGTTCTGTAATTGAACAGACAGCACATGAATAACTCCTAATGTGACTCGTTAGGTCTTTTTCTGAAAATTGTTTTTTTTTTAAGTACCGAACAATAATGCATGAGATATTTACAGTACACTCCATGCCTTTCAAACATCAAAGAATCTTGAGGACATATCACTGCACGGTTTCTAAGTGAATGCTTTCATTCTGAAGAATGGTAAAAGTTTACAAAGATGACAGTTATGTCCAAAAAGGAAAAAAAAATATATTGAGTATTGAGTATAAGTAAAAGAGGAAAAAGTACTGACGAAAAAGAAACAACCAGCTTTTGCGTATCTGAAATAGCTTCACTGCTGTGACTCTTCCAGACTCTTGATTAGCAGTGCAATTCCTTACTGTACACATCCTACTGCATTATCCCTTGCACAATCAAAGCAAAGGCATTAAAAAATACACATTATTAGTTAAGCAAACAGCCAACCACTGGGGTAAACAATTCACTGCAGATCACCGCGCTAAAGCTGAAAATATAATCTTGCTAATCTGGCACAGGCTTCGAGCTCTATAAACTTTTTAGAATGATATCGAGACAATAAATAAGATTAATGTAAAGCAATAAGTGCATTATAAAGTCATTTATCAAGCGTTACATAACAACACAGGCCAGTGAAGAGAATGGCAAACACACTCTCCCTGGCTCTAGGTAAACGGAGAGCTGTGAAGTAATGAGGCCGACATCTACTGTAGATCAAACCACTGAGGGCTGCACCTGAAGCGTGCTCCTTCTGAACCCCATCAAACCCCTCTCTCCGCTCCAGAAGGAGTCTCCCATGGCACGACCAGCCTAGCTCTGAAGGAAAACCTGTGGTGTTTTGGATTTACTATTCTGTTGTCCTTGAGGGTGTCAGCTAAAACCAGTGAGGCAAAAAGACGCCATTGCAGTTATCCAAAGGTCCTGATGGAAACAACCAGCAATTAATCAACATTATTCACACAACTTTTAAGAATTTGTGACTTTCGTGAATATTATCCACGGTTGGCTCTGTATGTGCTGTATTAATTTAAGTGTATGCCTAAAATACGGTTTGTAGACCCGAAGTCAACATTTATACAATGGAGTCAGAATATCTCCTGTGCCCATCTGACATCTGGAGTCGTCTTCTTTTAGGGTGGTGGCTGAGTGCCATGGTGACCCTATGGATGGTTTCCCTGTCACTAGAAATTTCACGGCAGGATACAGGAATAGATTGCCAGGCCTTTCTTCCTCATAGACAGTGTGAGTGCTGTTGCTGTTGTCACAGATATGTGACACCCCACCGCCAACACCGCCCCCATACTGCTGCTGCCCAGTGTGGGTTATTAGAGAACTTTGCACCCGACATGGGACACGAACCCACTACCCTGAGATGATGAGTCTCATGCTCTACCAACTGAGCTAGTCGCGGCTTTCTTTAGGGGGGACAGATCTATTTTACCGCTTTCCTACAGATCATTTATTGAAAGCGTATTAACATACTGTCAGTTTGGTACCATCAGTACCGCACACTGTAACAAACAGAGGGATCTAAAGAAGACTCGTGGCATCATGAAGTGTGTGGCACCCCCCCCACCACTGGGAATCTGCACTACTCCTCTTTGAGAGACACCTCTGTGCCCCAGGGTGTCATTCAGATGACCCCCTCTGCAATTTCGGATCTCTGAACCAAAATACATATGGAATCTCAGGCTTATGAAAGATGCATTTTATCCTATATGGTGGGATCTTTATATTCCATACCATCACAGTGTCAGGTATTGGCTCTTACAGAAAAGTAGTAACAACGTGAACGAAGACTTATGCGTTATGCGTTGCCTTTAAAACTCAGACCTTCCACTCACCTACAACGAATACCGCGTACTTTTTTACTCGCTATACAAATGGGCATATCTACGAAAACGTCACAATGATGTACCGATGCCTATGTTGTGAATTCGTGACCGAGACATAGGCAATTCACGGCAAACGAATTCAGAGAAATGGGGAAACTGAACAACCTGATCTCCGTTACCTAATCATCTGTCATTGAGCAAGGTTACTCCTTGTATTCTCATAAATTCTGTAATGGCTGTAGTGAAATGTATAAAATGTGTTTGAAGAAATCTTACTTCTTCTTGTTTCTTGCCAATAAGCCGTAACCCGAATCTTTCCAGCAGGCTTAAGATCTGCAAAAACGGCAGTAGGATTTTTAGGAGCCGAGAACACAAACCCGCACCTCAGACAAGACTAAATTTAATTCGGGGATGCTACAATACTCCGCACATGCAGTCAACCTCCACCTCACCCAGGTGACACTTAAAGGTGAGGAAATTATTTAAGATAACCCATACCGATTACTACTAAAAATACGCAGTTTGCATAAACGCAATCCACGTATTCATTCATCATTGCAGGCTGGGGAGACAAATATATTTCGGTGCTGATGTGAAGGACACCGCGCAGGAAAGGCCTCCGCTGACTGCCTCTGCCGCCTCCGTGCTTTCCGCTCATTAATTAAGGCACAAAGAGGTTTTCTCGGGCTAAAGAAGAGGGGCAGAGGCGCTGTCCAGACGGACAGGCTGTCCGTCCGGTGCTGCTCGGTGTGCCGGCCGGGCGGTCCTGCTCTTACCGTTGACCTCCACGCGTTTCCAGCCATCCCGTCCGCCTCACTCCGCGATCACGCCTGAGCTACTGCACTGCCTGCCCGGACCCGCTTCCTGCACGGGAAAAAAAAAAAACCCTTTTCCGGGTGAACCACGAGTGATTTCACCCCGCCCACACCCGACGGCATCACGGACTGATCTCGTTTGCTAACTCCCCCGGCGGTGCGATCAAAAGGTTCAAAATCCTTGGGTGGGCGATTTCAGCTTTTCAGCGTCGTAAACCCAGAAAAAAAAACCTCAAAATGAGGACTTCTGTTGTTTTACACTTAAGCTTAAATAATACTGTTAATTCTAAATCTTTTAGGACAGAATCGCAGGTCAAGTAATGCACCGTAATCTCATGCTACAGTTTTAGTGTGAAAAGTTTCTATACGGTTCTGGTGTCTCTAAATTCATGGGTCAAGGGATCCCACCTTGAAACCTCCTCAGCTTTCTGACCAGATTCCCCCCCCCAATCCTAGTGAAATATCACGAAATGCTGCAAATTCATATCCTGTTCAAAAATTGAAAAGATGTCACCTCAACTCCTTTGCACCAATTTCGAATTGTTCAAATTACACCCCATTTTAATTATGCACCGTTATAGCTGCTTGGACAATGTTTAAAGCGTTTAAACAGAAACCTGAAAAGTACATGTTCTCACCCTGTAGAGAGAAATAGTGTATTTCAAATACCAGTTTCATCTGAAGGTATTATGCAAGGAAGAAAACCACACTTGTGAACCTGCAAAACAAGAGTGTGACGGAACACAACAATAGTAGTTATTATTAATGATAAGGTGTGTGTGTGGGGGGTTAAGGTGACCATGATTGGGTAAGACCAGGGGGAATCTGGCCAGGACACGAAGATGAACACCTCTACTTTTTTCAACAAATGTTCTGGTATTTCTAATAATCAAGGAGAGTCGGGACCTTAGTCTAACATCTCATCAGAATGACGGCGCCTTTTTTACAACACAGTATTCCCATCACAATGCTGTAGCATCAGGACCCACACAGACCACAGGGTGAGCACCCCCTACTGGTACCCACTGACACCTCTTCCAGCAGAAATCTTAGTTTCTCCCAGGAGTTTCCCATCCAGGTACTGGCCAGGCTCACACCTGCTGGGCTTCAGTGGGCTGCCAGCTGTGGGTTGCAGGGTTAGGCTGCTTACTATGCACCCTGCTGCCTGACTGTATAAATTTAAGGCTTTTTATTACTTTGTTTATTCTTCCTGTAACAAATATGGGGAATATAAATGCATAAAATGATGTAATTTATAAACTGCAGACACTTGCACGTGTCCTGTAGAAGGACAGCAAATAAAGTTTCCATTTATAGTGGCACAGAAACTACTCATTGATTTTTCAAGTCCGTTTACATCCATTTTCTAAATCCAATCCAATTTCATTCCATAGCCACCAGATGGCGGAAAGAGACCGTTCTTCTCTAACAAAATAAGATCAGTACCACAGTACAATAATTCAATTAAATTCAAGCTTTATTGTCCCATTGGGGAAATCTGTTATACAGCACACTCCCAACAGAACAACACAATGACAGACAAAACGTTTCCAACCAAGAAGTCAGTGCAACAGTGTTACAGCAAGATAATTGAGAAGATAGTTATGATACATTGCTTGAAAGAGATATTGCAGAAATACTGGAAAGTGCATACTCCCTAAATTCCTTTTTAAATTCCTGCTCCTATTTTCCCATAGATGTACACAACCTATGCTATGAATCAAATATTCAATTATTCCAAAGACTACATTGATTATGAAGATAGGTCAGTTTAATATTATACCGCAAGGATTCTTTAACAGATCTGAAGACTGTGTTAATAATAGTAATTCCTTACACTTATATAGCACTTTCTGGACACTCCACTCAAAGCGCTTTACAGGTAATGGGGATCACCTGCACCACCACTAGTGTGCAGCCCCACCTGGATGATTCAATGACAGCCATAGTACACCAGTACACTCACCACACACCACATACCAGCTATCAGAGCATACTGATGAAACCAATTATTAGGAAGCCATGATTGGTAAAGGCCAATGGGCACCAGGGTTACACCCATACTCATTTTAAGAAACGCCCTGGGTCATGTTTAATGGCCACAGAGAGTCAGGACCTCAGTTTCATGTCTCATCTGAAGGAGAGCACCTTTTTACAGTATAGTGTCCCCGTCACTATACTGGGGCATTAGGACCCATACAGAACCACAGGGTGAGCACCTCCTACTGGTCCCACTAACACCTCTTCCAGCAGCAAACTTAGTTTTCCCTGGAGGTCTCCCATCCAGGTCCTGGCCAGGCCCACACCTCCTGAGCTTCAGTGGGTTGCCAGCTGTGAGTTGCAGGGTGATACAGCCGCTGGCACATTTGATGTTTGATATGAGGCAGTATAAAGGTTAGGGTGCGACATTACAGCAGTCTCCTGGTAAGATTTAAAAACCCTGGTTCAATACTGAGATGTTGTACAAGATAACTCGTTATGCACTTGAAAGATCTGTCAGGGAGGCAAAGAGGGCTTATATGAACAAGGTTGATTTACAGTATTGTGAAAATACATACAGTATAGACTATGGCAAGGGATTCACGCTATCACAAATTATAAAGGGAACAAGATTAACGGCGTTTGCACTGACACGACCCTTCCAGATGACCTCAATAACTTTTATGCTCATTTTATGTTAAGAACCATGACATTGCCATATAAAACTCAGGTTAAACATGATGAATTTGTCCATCAGGTTCCCGGGTGAGATGTATGTAGAGCACTACAACAGGTAAACCCCTACAAAGTGACCCGAAGGAGTCACCCCCAGAGTTCTGAAAGCCTCTGCCATTCATTTGGCTGATGTCTACACAGATATATTTAATATTTCATTGTCACGGGTTATTGTTCAACGTTGTTTTAAAAGTTCTATTATCACTCCAATCCCTAAAAGATCTAGGGTGACTTGCCTGAACGACTACCGTCCCATAGCCCTTACTTCTGTAGCTATGAAATGCCTGGAGAGACTAGTATTGAGATTTATCAACAATAATATCCCTGATACACTGGCCCCTCTGCAGTTTGCATATCATCCAAATAGGCCTGTGGACGATACAGTGGCTTGTTTTACACACTGCTCTCCAGCAGCTGGAAAAACACAACACTCACATTCGAATCTTGTTTTTAGACTATAGCTCAGCCTTTAACACCATAAGGCCCACCGAGCTCGTGTTGAAACTCACTGGGCGTGGCCTGCCCAATTCTCTGTGCAATTGGATACTGGACTTTTTGACAAATAGACCACAAGTAGTGAAAATAGGTGGAAATACTTCTTCCCCAATTACCTTAAGCACAAGAGTGCCCCAGGGCTAATTCCAAAACGTTTCTCATTCTACACACACAACTGTAATCCCACCTATGACAATAACTTCATTTACAAATTTACGGATGATACAACAGTGGTTGGCCTTATTCAATATGACGATGAAACTACTTACAGGCAGCTAATTAGAGACCTGACCACTTATGGTAAGGATAATGACCTTGTTCTTAATGCCTCCAGGACAAAAGAAATGATCTTGGATTTCAGGAAAAACATCAATCCCCACCAATCAGTTTACATCGATGGTACTGAAATTGAGCAGGTCGACTCCATCAAGTTTCTTGGCCTACATATTACCAAAACGCTGGGCTGAGAATACTAGTGCAATTGTGAAGAAAGCCCAGCAGCGTATGTACTTTCTGAGGTGCCTAAAGAGGAGTGGCACCCACAAAAAAGCACTGGTTAGTTTCTACCATGGTCCATTGAGAGCATTTTGACCGGAGGTATTACAGTGTGGTTCGGCGGTGCTACCCAGAAGGACAAACGCATCCTCAAGAGAGCGATGAGAATAGCTGAATGCATAATTGGAACAGAACTTCCTTCGTTGGCTCGATAAAGCCTCCAGCAGGAGCAAGGCTCACGCTATCCTCAAAGACCCACTCCACCCTTACCATAGTCTGTTAAACTGTCGAGATAAATATAACCTTCAGTGTCGTAGGCCAGAGAGCATTAAGAGGAACGGGTTTATGAACAGTTTCTTCCCAAGGACAGTGCGCTTGATTCCCAAGGACATGCTGACCGGAATAACAAATAGGAGGCCCATATCTACCCCAGCTCCGTAGGCACAATATCTTTAATCATGTGCAACTTAGGAGCCATTCTTTCTTATGTGAATGCTTTGTGTAATAATGTGTATAGGCTGTGTATAGTCTTTTTATAGTTTGTGTATACAGTGTCCTGCACATAGTCTGTGTTTTTATGTTTTCTGACTGAAAGAAACCGTGCAAGACTTCCAATGCACTGTTCGTGCAAATGCCAATAAAGGCTACAAGAATGAAAAAAGCAAATCTGCCCAAAAAAGCAGGGAAGATGCAAAGTAAAACATTGTCAAAACTCTCACACTCGTTTCACACATTTTTATTAAGACTGCTTTCACTCCCATTTTTAAAAATACACAATTTAAACTGCAAATACTGTTTTGTTATTACCAAGAAGTATAAGTCTTTAGAAAATAATACAATTTAGTTGTATTGTGATTTCTATACAATATTTACCTTATAACAGGTTCCAGGTTAACTAATTATAGCAATTAAAGGCAATGTAACTACAGTCACAGATGATCAGCATTAATTCGCTTAATCTAAAGCAACGGCTTCTGATTTTGTTTCAGTAGTGTGCAGTGGTAGAGCCTGACATCCCAGCAGAATACTGAAAGCTATCATACATTTTCAAAATAATTATAAATTTATAGGAATTTAAAAATGCTTCATAAAACCAAGGTTCTAATGTACTGTATATTACATATTTTGGTGTCTTGAAAAGTCTGTTATTTTCCTGTCAAAATATTGTTACACATTTAGAAACCTGTTTGAAGTTTTCAGAGAAACATTATTTCCTGATTCCCACTACTCCATGTAACCTTCATAGACAATATAAATATGCAGAGCAACCTCCACCGGACTTCAAAATCTCAAGAAAACTATATAAATTTATAAACAACAGGTTAATTATTTTAATTATCTTTGTTACATAAAAATATGAGATAAAACAAGTTATCTAAGTAGTAGAAAAGCCCATAAATACTTCCAATTAGTCACAGGCAGAAATAACTACTGCTTATGACAGATTCATGAGGTAGGAAGTTATATTTAAAAGACTTGCATGAAAAAGACACTTCAGAACAGCAATTACAACATGCATGTATAAATTAATTCTGTCGCATTTAAGGATTGCTTCTTTTTGGTTATATTTCTTTTCTCTCAAACCTTCACAATGATACAAGTGACATTGTTATGGATGTTGATGTGAGTAATGGTTTTATTTAAAAAACAATTATTTTAAAAAAGTGCAGGCACACTTCCTAAGACACTCACGCATATATAAAAAGCACTTGATATGTAACTCACTGTTAAAGCACAAAAACCATAGGGGAAAGAGCAATATAAAACAGGGCAGTGTGCGTGTTCTAAATACACACTTCGTTTTTATACTTAAAGTGCCAAGAAAAATAAAATTGCATATTACTTTAAAGTGTTGACTACTATGCCATTAACCCCAGCCATTATATTTCTAAATAGAACTCAGGTTTTAGCAACAACGACAGTATGACATCATGCTTTTTCACAGGTGAGCAGCTGACCACTGATGTCTGAAGATTTGAATGTCTTCAGATATCCAATCATTCTGAATTTCCTTTAAATCTGTTACCAGGACAGATGTGCAGTATACTATACAGAAAAACAAATGAATGCAAGGTATCCTTGCCATACAGCAATCAAAGGATACTTGCACTAAAACTGAGTTAAACGAACGGATTTGAATAAAGAAACTTTCTTAACACTATATGCTCTGATCTATAACAACTCCCCACAGAAACTGAAAGCAATTAATTCAGTGAAATTAAATGCTGCTTAATTTGCCATTTCACAGGACATACTGCTTTGGTTGACTGTTAATGCTCAGTGCTCTTTCAGTTTGAGATATGAGATGAGCTGCTCTGTTGCTCAGCAGTCTGCATTCATGTAGGATATCTGTGGAAAGACAACACAGAACAATGTCCTTTATCATCAATCAAAGATTTACAATCTTTATTTCCTATTAGTGATTTACTTTCTTAAAATGCCATTAATTTAAAATCTAAGTCAGATTACAGACAATCTTAACAAAGCAGTTTAATTCTGTCTTCTATGTATTTAATTTCTTACTTGCTTGCTACACCAGTGGTCCAGTCAACTTCTTTATTAAAATCATGGCCAGGGCTAGATTACTAGATCACTATACGTTTTCTGAAACCCTATTTGTGTTATTCACCATGTCAAATATCTATTAATCTAATTAAGAGATAACTTCATTAGAAAAAGCTCACGATACAGACTTCTTCTTTAATACCCTTTTTAGTCATAATTAGTTTAATGCTCATTAATCTCAATAGTGGTATATAATTGCACATTTAGTGTTATTCTTTTATTTAATGATCCATTAAGTACAATCCTATAATGCTTTAGATTTTGTTTTGTTTTGCATGTGATTTTGATCTCTCGAATTCCACCGCAGAATCCCTACAATAGCTATAGCAGAACAAAGAAACACTAGGAATTTAACCCAGACTTACACATCTGGCAGTTAGCCTTCATTTAACCTTGATTTGGGAGGGAAACACTTACCATTAAATTGTTTATAGGCTTCTTCGATGATTGCATTGTTTGATCGTTTAAGATCCCAATAGCCTTCTTCAACCCAAGGTTTACAATCAAGTACCTCTGGTAACGGACCATTTTTATAAATCCCTGCTATCAATAACATAGAAAAAAAACATATTTCACTTTCCAAGTAATTTCAACTGTAATAATAAGATGGCTTCAACAACCCTTAATATTCATAGCAATGATGCCTCCATTACCCACATACAGTATATTATTGCCATTATATTATATATTAAAAACCTGTATTTTCCTTTGTAAATGTGATATATTCTGTATTTCTGCCATGCAATATTTCTCAGAATAACCATTTGCAAATATTGCCATTCTACAACAAGAACTACGGATGATTAAACCATAAAGCCTCTCTCAAGGCAAAACAAAATGTGGGCCTTATTCATGTTTAAGATGGATTAGTATTACTTTACTCTTGTCTCAGAAACGCCTTCATTGAAAATGCACTCCCCTTTCAATGTAATACTGTAGCATTATCTGACATTACAAACATCACTTTAAAGTAAAGACCTGCTTGATTTTTTATGATTAAAATGCAAAAAAACCTTTTAAGGAGTCATCAATGTCTCTGCACAACTGATATAAGTCACTGCCTCGGCCAGCCAACCTTTCACCTAGAAGAGAAGTAAAGTCCCACTGGTACCAAAACTTGTAAAGATTCCTCATAATCTGGGGAGTTTGGGTAATCACACTGCTGACACCACTAGAAAAAGCTTAACTGTTAAGTGTCAAGAATGCAAATCGTTCAGGGTGGTTTTTTTTTTGAATGAATAAAAACAAATCAGTTTGCGCGATGAAAACTTATTGTAGATGGAATTAAGTGATTTGTGTGTTTTTAAATATCCCGGCTTTACTGTACTTTGTAAAAACGTCAAAGACTGCACTATGATGCATTAATAAATGAGTGGCATACGAACTACATACATTACAGTAAGAGGGAGAAGTGGAAAGGTCTCTGGCCCTTTTAACCAGAAGGTTGCAGGTTCAAATCCCAGGAGATGTACTGCTATTGTACTCTTGGGCAAGGTACTGTATATTACTCTGATTGCTCCAGTAATGTGCCCAGCTGTATAGGTAGAAAACCTAAAACTCTTTGGATAAAAGAGTCAGACAAATAAATGAACACCAGACAATCAGTGTTCACCGCATGTGATGTTTCCTTTGTTGTGGAAAATAAACTTTTTAAATTTAAATGTGTTATTATTTTGATATGTACTAGAAATGACATTTTCCACAGATGAAAACTCACTTACCGTCTAACACTTTGATGTTTGGAAACATTTCTAGGATTATATTTCTATAAGATGTGTTCTTGCAAACTAAAAACAAACACAAACAATACATCATTTAATAATTTTATACATAGAAAATAACATTTTTAATTGTTACATTCTAAAAGTATGCAATACTTTATAGTACATTTACTTTACAAAGTTAAAAAAATGATTTAAAAATATCTTTTGAGGCTATCAAATTATCAAATAAATGTCTCATTTAACACTTTAAAATTTCATTATGTTTGGATTATTTTATAAGGAAAAAAAAACAAAATTGAACTTGACATTAAATCTTTTCTGAATACAATGCTGAATTTTGACAGCTTCATTTCCACCATCTAGCCAGATCATTTTCCATTTCATAAGCTAAGCAAATCTGGCCCTCAACAATATTGGGATGAAAACCCTCTAAGGAAAATCAGGTTGCTCCTGTAAGTAGTTTTGTTGCATCTGTAGTTGATCAGAGACACTGTGTAGTGGTATAGATGCTGGCTCTTTGGAATCTAATGGAATAAAGTAAAACAAGGTCTTGACTACTTTGCAATAAAGGTTCCATGGCACTTTTCAAAAGAATAAGGATCTTATCCCCAGGGTGCTGCCTGAATTCCACCTTGGACTTGCATAGTCTAGCCTATATATATTTTCCCCTTAATTCAATCGGTGAAGTAACTTCTCATTTCTCCACCTGAACTGCTGTGCAGTATGTCTGCCGGTGTAAAATGCTCCCAAACGTCACAAAAGTATGCATTTAAGTGGTGGATAAAATGAGTTCCTTCCTATTGGTAAAGTGTTTTGTGATCTTGTGTGATGAAAAGCATAATATAGATGTAATTAATTGATTATTGCATGGTTATCTGCAAGCTGTGCTCACCTGGATTGGTGTAGTTACAGGAAATGTCCTTAAGCCGAAAGCTCTCCAGTTTTCTTAAAGACTGAAGACACTGGAGATTTTCAAAACTAGATATTTCAATCACAAGAAAAAAACATTTTTTAATGTATACGAAATAAAAAAAACTAAGAGATTTATTTCAGAGAAAAGATTGTGAAAGTATCTTTAAACTGATTTTAAGAATGCAACAAGTAAAACTGCATTCCTGTCCTGCAACTGTTAGGACAGAAGATAGTGTACCATTACATTTTCTTAAAATAACCTCTGACAGATAACAATATATAAAACAGGTGAAATCAAGAGAGAAGCTCAATACACCAACTAGCATTGATAGAACGGAAAGACTGGAAAAATACTATTTTGGTGGTCCTTATGTCTTCTGCACTTCACAGCATGCATTACTACACCAGCACAGATTCAAGTTGGAAAAATCAAATTTACATCACAGCCTCTTGTTAAGCCTCTGGC